GGGGCGGGCCCCGGCTCCGGCCGCGCGGGGCCGCGAGCAGGAGCAGACCCAAGGAGAATCGGTGAAGGACGGCGTGGCGCAGGAAGCGTTTCCTGAGGAGTTAGTGGTGGTGGTGGGTAGGTCAGTGCTTGCTTTTCTGTCTGTCTTCGGCGTGCCGAGGAGACCGAGAAAGGGGGCAAAAATTTGCCCTTAAGCAATACGGCAGCGGACCCGACTTCAGCGGGAAGCGTCCGAGGAGTTGTGGGAGAAAGACCTCTGAGGAAGTTTTAATGGCGAATTTGAAATAAAAGGCATGGAGTTAGCACACTCCTCAGATCCCTGTGTGGGATCCATTAGAAATTGCACTGGGCCACGGTTTTTATGGGCGCGATCGCAAACTAATTTGCAGTCAGATTTGCATGTAGTGTCTTACACTAGTGTCCGACACCCCCGTTACAGTGCCGATGGTCGGCCACTGGGGTAGACACACCAACTCCCTAAGCCTTCCAGGTGAGCTGTGGTCTCCAGTTGATTTTCCTGTCAAGCAAACGTCAGCTGGTTTTATCCAAATGCATGCGGCAGGGCTGCTTCTCTGCACTGTCGTAATTACCCTAGTGATTTGTCATGAGCGGCTGTAATCCTCATTGCGGAAGAGGCTAAACTTGAAAATTGCAGGATGAATATCCGTGCTGATGGTACTGTGGGAATTTTTTTGAGATTTATTGTGTTAGTCTCCACGCAGCATTGATGTATTCAGATAAGTCAACTGCTGACATCGATTTGGAATGGAATGAAAGAGTTCACACTTTTATTCAGCAATGTAGTTTTGTTTTTCATAACTAAGGACTTTAAAAATCCATTTCAAGTGTATGTCACATCCTTCCTGTTTTCAATCGGTATATGTCAAGCATCGTTGAAAGCTCTCAAATGTTTAGACTTTATATGTATTAAGCATTCCCTTTTGTATTTTAGCAGAAGAATTTTTAAAAGTTGTTAATATCTTACAAATATGCTTTGTTTGTAACATAATTTATTTGTAAAGGAGTGGGGAACATATGTGCTCTTCTGCATGTAAAGGAATATGTTTCTAAAGGGAAAAAGTTATTTAATTTCTCAATGGAAGACCTGTAATAGAATGGTAAAGTGATATCTAACGTAACTATATCCCCAACAAGTAAATGGTAAAAGGAAGTAGCGTGGAGCTGAGGCTGAGCTAGAAACTGAACGTTGAAGCAATAAGTATGTTCGTTCAACAAATGATCAAAAAATACCTAGTCACCCTCAAAAGTTCACGACAGATTTTATGATTTACGTGTTTCATTTTTATAGTGTATTGATTTATTTTCTCAGCACAATATGTTATGAAAAGACACTGCAGACAGAACATTTACTTCAGTTGTGGTATACTGGAATTTAAGCCTGCAAGTAATTATTAAAAGAAGCCTTCAGCAAGGTAAAAGCTCTGTTGGGATGCGTGCTTTCATTGTAACATCAGCTGGAACGTCTACAACTCAACAGCTGTAGTAAAAGTGGTTTAATTCATAAAGAATATTCTCAGCTAGTTGTTACCAGTGAGGAAAGTCAGAGTTGTCACTCACAAGGTGTAGCTGTACCATTTTTAGTCCTTTCTTTTTTTCTTTTTTTTTTTTTTTTTGCTCCAGCATATGTACTGAGGCCAAATGAAGAGAGTTGTGCTAAGCCTGGTAAGGGCAGCAGATTTTCCTTCCTCATTAAGTCCATACATGTTTGTTTGATCTTATCAGAAAAGTGTGCTGAGAACTGTACATTGGGTCTTGATCCCTGAGGCTTGATAACTTCATTATGCAGTCTTTTTTTGTTTGTTTGTTTTAGGAAATAGATTTCCCATTCTAATGAAAAATGCAGGTTCTAGGGGAAGCAGTTCCAAATCAGGATAAAAATTAGCCTTTTATATACATCCTCCCGTGAGTACAATCTACTGCTGCCAATCTCTCTCTTGCAAACCCCCTCTCTGGCAAAGAAAGCTGTGAGAGAATGGATCCAATAAGAGAAATTCAGGGTAGGGAGAGTATAACTCCAGACTAGTTAAGGCTACTATAGTTAAAGCAGTCTCTTTAATGTGAGTGATGCAGTACAAAACTATTGCTCTATCAGATTGTTTATTATTCCTATACTCTTTTCCTTTTGTTTTTAAAAATGTTTTTACATGATATTTTAACATAATTTTCTTTGCCTTGTTCTCTGTGATTCTACTCCGTTGTGTACAGAGAAACAGAAGATTCATTTTGCCTCCTGTACTACATTTCTAGAGTTCTGTAATTGAGGGAGAGATTTCTGGAATGGCTTTGCAGTAATTCTGAGATCGTGTACTTTGCTTCTTATAGATCTGTGACTAGGAGGTAACTCTTCTGGTCAATGAGGTGTCCAGTGGTCATGGATATCTGGCAACGGTAGTGTTGTATTATCTCAGTTATTATTGTATTAGCTCAATGTTATTCATGAGGCTTTCTTCGAAGTTGAAACTCTGTAAAGTTCAGAGGTCTTGGGGGGAAGGGAGAGAGCAGTGCTGCTGAGAAACAGGAAGAGCTCTGTTTTAGCCAAGATGAAATAAAAGCCCAGGAAAATGATTTATTGGTGACATCTTTCATATCCGCTCTCCCACTGTAGATGGGATGAAGGAATGTTTTTTAGGTCTGGAGACTGGCTGTGAGAATTCTCAGATTTCCTTTTAGTCTGTGGGTTTGAAATAACGTTTGATCATTTCCATTGTTTATATGGAATTTAGGTTGCCCAAGGCAAGAAATGTGGGGTTTCTAGGGCTGGGCTACACAGCATATCAACTAGCATTGACCACATTTTTAGTGGAAGATTTGTTCCACCTTTAGGAGAACTCACCCTCTTCACATCTTTTTCTTGCCTATGATCTGGGTTTCTTCTGCTTACATAGAATTCCTTGGGGAGAAAAATCATCTATGTCTCAGGTTAGAGTGAGGGAGAAGAGGATTAGTGCTCAACCTTCTCTGCACTTTCAAGACATTCATACACACTTACTTGGATGCATTGAGTTTGTCTCGGAATATCTGGGAGTTGGCCGGGCTAAGGCAGAGTAGGGTATGGCTTGGAATTGTTCCAGGCATATGGCTGAGACAAGGCACTTACCACAGATGCATTTGCAGAAGGCACTGTTTTTTTTTTTTCCAAGGGCTATCTTTGCAGTTAGCAGCAAATGTTTCAGGCTGTTTTGTTGTTTTTTTTTCATTTTAGTTTTTTTTTTAATTTAATTTAGTATTATTATTATAGTATTAGAGTCATTTCAAATCTGAGGCAACCTGATCTTTTTTTTTTTTTTTTCCTTAGGAGCAAACCGACTTACAAATTTTGTATCGTTCACCATCCTTTATTCTTCTATACACAAGCGACTCGTTATATCATGCAGACAATGTGAGAGGTTCTGAAGATTTGGCAAGGAAGTACCTCATCAGCACAGTATTAAAGGGTCTAATTGTAAATATGAGTCAATCTTTACCTTATAACTTTCAAGTAGACACTTTCAATTGAAGTGAACGTTGTCATGCATTGATAAAGTTAAGCAGGATGGAAATGCCGTGTGTAGTTGCTGGAAAGGTAGAAACTGTTTATTTTGTACTGCACAAAACTGTCATTTGTATTGTAGATATGCAGTAACAGAAAATGTATGATGCATTTCATGACCTCAGAGAAAGAACATGCATACTCGCTTTTTTCTTTTATTTCTTACCTGTTCAACTAGCAAGACAGCAGAATACCAAAGAGGTATATGATTCAGTTAGTTTTACCAATGTTTGTTCAGCATTTGCTAAATAGCAGTCAATCAGGTGGTGATTTATGAATGACAGAGCAATATGCAGGACAATGACTACATGAGGAGTGAACGCATTCCTTCCTGTCTGTATACCAACACCTTTGGACATACCGGGGCTTTGGCTAACTTGAGGCAAACAGGTGCCATAAAAGTGTGAAGTCTCCATAGCCAATCTTAAAAGTCCTAGAGAGGGAAATAGTTTTCTCTTAACAGCCTGGAGTTCTTTGCTATGCACTTTTAGACACGATTCCATGGGTTTGCTGTATTACAGCTCCCTCCGGTGGTAACATTTTACCTTTTAAAACGTCAGTTAGCTTTCTGTGAAGCTCTTGCTTTCTCTTCAGAAAGCTTTGAGGCTTTCCCCTGCTTCCTCTTTATTCCATCTTTGTTCTCAAATGTTCAACACTATGAACAGCTGCTTAGGACTGTGAGGTTATCAGAGAGGTAGAGCTGTGGTTTGAGATGTCGTGCTTGTGTTTTTCATTCTGCAGCTGACTTACAGAAGCAGGTTAGGAAGGTCATTTCACCCCGTAAGCCTCACTTTTGTCATCGAGAAATGGAGAGAATGATAGATACTTGTAGAATACCTATAGTTGTTTTAAATACCAATTTCTCTACTTTTAAATCTTTATTTCAAACAAGAATTTTGCTTATCTGACATAATAGAAGATTACTTTAAAATCTCCTGGCAGTGGGAGAGTTAGCTACTGTCTTGGACACCACAGACTTCCACGGTTCTTTTTGCATAGTAACAAAAAAGCAAAAGTCTACCCGTGAGAAGAACATAGAGTGTATGTTTTCAATTTTGCCATCATTCCACAAAACACAGAAAACCTGTTTTATGGCATAAACACCTTCATTTAAGGAATGGGAGTCTGAGCAGGAAGGAACTCGGGCATGCTCTCCTTTGGTTCCAAGTGAACTTTGTCTGGAAAATATACTCCAGTGTTACCACTGGCTTCACACATGAGTAATTCTTTGTTCTTCCCTACAAATATGTGAAAAACATGTCTTCTGCAGTTGTCTGGGTGAATCATGTTATGCCTCAATTCTAGAAGCAAAGGAGGTCTTGACATCCAGACTTAGGATGATATGCTTTGCAGGTTTCCTAGCATTAGGGAACAGCTCTGCCTCATCCTCTTTCATAGCTCGTCTTCTTTCATCTTCTGAAAGAAGCCTGCAGTAGTAAAACTGTTTCATGACCTTGTATGTGCTTTGTAAGTACAAGAATCTCTGTTTAATTTCTACTTCTGTATAATAATACTATCCATCAACTGTGGTGATTAAAATCCGGTCCTTGCTTTATTTACAGAGCAGGGAATGCACAAACAATATTTTTTTCCCCATGGCGTTGCCTTTTACCTCGGCAACTAAGATGAAATTTATGATTGGGTAGTTAGTGCAGTATTTTATATGTATGTATTACATGTCACATCGGAAGATCTTAAAATTTCTTGAAAAATAGGTACACGCAACAACGCCAGTGTGGTTCCAAGAATGCTTTCCCCACAGAAACTTCTTTATTGTCATTGATAAAGATGTGCATTACCTTTATTCAGTGGGTTTTTTTTGCTGGTTGTTTCTTGTGCTTCGGCCAGTTACCATTGAATATCCCATTCCAGCAAAGTCATTAATTGTGGAATTCGATTCAGTTCTTATAATATATTTCAATGACTTTATCTTTTCTGATTCTTCATTCTAGCTTTGCTGAATAAGTTTGAAGGGAAACACTCAGTTCTACCTCTTTACTGTTCATCATACGTATTGAGGAAACCCTTTCCTAAGAAGTGATTGTTTTGCCTTAAATGTGAGTAACCTGTTGAGTGATTGAATTACTAAGATTATTTTTAAGTCATTGTTCCTAATTCAGTGCCCGTATTCTGTTTTGGGTTTGTTTGTTTAATTTACTCCATAACCTTTATGTACTTGAATTTAATATTGCATGAACTTGGAAAAGTCAGTGCATCACTACAAAGATCTTAAACTTTTCAAGAATTTAATTATTGCCTTAGTGTACCTTTTCTCACATATACTAAGAGAGAATGTATACACTACATTTAATCCGGTCCAAAACAACCTTTAATAAATTTGCTAGACAATTTAAAAAAAAAAAAAAAAAAACAGGTTGCCTTAGACTTGCTTATTAGGAAAAAAATGCATCTTACTGTGGGGTAATGAGCTGGCATATGTCAGCTCCTTTTCAGTAACTGTATGTCTAGTAAGTGTAAAGTAATTCACTGTGAGCATGTGGCAGAATAGCTGAGAGCCATCCCTGCAGATGTCAACGCATGGGCTCCAGCACCCTTTGGAGGTTTTATTATCAGCCCAGCTGTAAATGGTATTCATGCCTGTAGAGCTCAAGGAATCCTTTCAGCCACAGGATTTTCTTATGTGAGACTGGCCACCAAAACTGGCGTGTCTTAACGCTGCTGCCCTGGTGGGCTGCCTAGGGTCAGGAGGATAACCAGCCACAACAGCCATTACTGTAAAGCAGAAGACGTGCTAAATCAGTGCTCTATTTCCTGCGTACAAGTCCTCAGCCTACAGTATTGGAGAGGAAACTTTATGTAGCATAGTCCTCAGTGAAAGAGGATCAAAATACCTCACCTTTTCCATAGGGTAAAAGGCTATGCATGGACAAATTACCACCCGAGCACTCTGTGAGTAGTAATTTCTTTGCATGTCCATAGCCCTCAATGCAGTAAGTGAGAGGGAGGGAGGGAAGTTTGGCAACACCACAGCTATACATGACAGGCTGTGTTAAGCTATAGCTCCCATCTTTAGCTCTTCCTCACTGTAAATCTACATCTGTGATTCTGTGATCAGTACAGTAAGACTGAATATATGTGTATTAAACTATATCCTTTATAAACCTACATGCTGTATACTAAATGCAGAGAATTCATGAGTTCATCTTGCATTTGGATAAGTAGACTATTTTCTAGTATGCTTAGCATAAAACAATACAAATACATAGGCACAAGAACTGAAAAAAAATGTTTAAAGTGGAGCGTATTAGAAGGAGCAGAGCTGATTCTAAGGCACAAGGCAAAACATTTTGGTTGAGCATATGACAGTGGCACTTCCTCTGCCCTAAATTGCTTGAAAAATGCCAGCAGATCATCATCTCCTAACATAAGCTGCTTAGTGTTTGGGAAACAGAGAACCTATCTACTATTTATGATGGCCACCCTACTTAAGAAAACACCTCTTTCCACTCTCACAGGCTCTGTGTGTTCCTACAGCAGAACAGATGAGCGAGGATGCAATTATATATCCGTTTTGGTATGCAGAGAGTTGGATGCAGAGAGTTCAACTAACTTATTTGAAAAATGCATTCAGTTTCTTTCTTTGTTTCTGGAACGGTATTGGAGTAGTGGATCCATTTCTGTAATACTTATTACTGAGGTGTTATAAGACTTCAAAAATATCAGACAAGAACGAGCTATTTAAAGACAAGTTAAGTGAATGCAGACAGCATTCACTGTTGAGGTCAGGTTGGTGTGTGGTTCCTGATTGTAGAAACAGTTTGTAGGGTTTATCCTCTCTCCCTGTCTGTCTATCTCTTTTCTTCTTCAGACCTCTGAGGCCCTACCTAAAGTTTGAACTTATTTCTGCCACAGAGAAAACAAATAGGGCTGACAGTCCTTGCTGGCAGTTCCTGAAGGCAGCAGAGTGTACAAGTTATCCAGCCATACCTGTTCCCTGTCTTCTCACCTGTTTTAGGGAGATTGCATCTTGGAAACAGTGATGGTTCGAGAAACGTGCTTGTAAGTTTATTTAAATGTACACATATGTAGCTAGCCTTTTTTCAGTCTTTAGCTCGCTTATGATTGTTTCTGGAGTAGAATCAGGATTTATGCAACTTCAGACAAAACACTGTTTTTGCGTATGAACTGAGAAGGTTAAATCCTACGAAAAGAGGAACACAGTTATGCTCAAAACATAGCAATTAATTCTGTATTCAGTTCTTCTTGGCAAACAGGAGAATGTTAGTATTATTAATTTTTTATGTGTGTGTAAATTTGCACATTGTCCTAAGCAGAAGACTTTTTTTGTGTCACAAGGCTTTAAAAAAGGAAACAAAAGAAATCTTATTAAAGCCATGAGAGTCTGCATTCTAAAAATCCCTTTTTCTTTTCATTTAAAGCTAGTCAGAATACAGAGAGGGAATGCCTTAAGAATGTTATTACTGTAAAACAGCAGTTTTATGAGGTACTTCATAAGTATACGAGGAAGTCTCTTTACCCTTTAAGAATTTACAGAAATAGCAAGTAGCAATTTGTAGGTGTCACTGTTATGGAACCACCTTGCCCTGATAGGCAAACTATAATATGACACAGCTAGCAAGGGAAAGGGCAGCGTCAGAGACCGTGGTTAAAAGTTTATTAGTCTAACTCACCTCTCGGTTACCAGCTGTAAAGAGAAACTGTTGGAAGAGGAGTAAAACATGATGTCTTGCATAACAAGTGAAAGGTTGAGGTATTTTTGAGGGTCACAGGTAGTGTAAGGACCAAAATGTGTTTTTTGGCTCAAGACGCAGTGGATTATGTCGGTCTTGCTTAAACCAGCTGCAGAGTAGCCCCCAACCTTAGCACTGTAGCTTCCATTCATTATTAACTAAAGAAATCTTTTTTATCAAGTCATGATGATACATAGAAATTATTTTAAAGGCCTGATAACTGACATTTTGATAGGCGCTTGAAAAATTCACCTAAAATAGGTCAGCATTTTTTGATCAGATACCATTCCCACATTAGCTGTTTGATTTTATTCTTGTGAAATATCAAAGGCTTGAGGAAAAGTATGAAATGAAGAACCAATCCACGTAATTTCATCTGTTTGCTGTAAATGTTAATATAAACTAACATAATGTAAGTCTTCAAGTTTTCTAAAACTTTCCAACTTTGTATGTTTTATGTGTAGTTCTTGATGCACATATATAATTTCTGCATCTATCAGGAGTTGTTTAATGCTTACTGGCAGAAAAAGAGACTTCTGGTTTATTGGTCTAAGGAAAGAATGTGATTCTCTGTCGTACAGGCTAGTGGCAGCAATAAACACGTTTGTAAAAAGCGTAGCTTTGCTACATGTTACTTTCCTATTCCAAATTAAGCTTGTAAAACCTATACCTTCGATTTTAACTAAGGGGTTTCTTATGAGAAATCAAATGGAAACTTGGGGTGTTGATTTAAAAACACACACACACACACACACACACACACACACACACACACAAAGCACAGTTAGCCAAACAGCTCAGCATTTATAGGATTTGTGAAAAAACCTTGCTAAATTAGGGTATGGCTACAGGGACGGACTGATTTGGAAAGAAAGAAAAAAAAAACATATCACCTTATAATACGGATTTTCTGGACCCACTTTTCTTTCTTTTTCTAATATGCTGTATCATTGCAGCTTTTACTGAGTTCATTTTTAATCAGATGCTTGAAAGCTGTGAAGAATGGGAAAAGATATTTGAATAAGGGTTCCCAAAAGTTGAGACAGTAAATCAGTTTTTGTGAGAAGGATTATTTTACATATGCATTCTAGAAAGATGGCAGTAATTGGATATGGGTGTTGCAGTAAGCTTCCATGTCACTGCAACTTTCAGATTAAATTAGTGTAGTATGTACTTAGAAAGCTGCCCTTGAAGATTATCAGGAAGCTAGTGCAAAGTGTATTCAACAGCCTAAGGACATTGTTATGTCATTGAAAAAACTGTTACAGCAGTAGATCCCAGACATATTTTTTAATAGACTGTATACATTTGTGTGATAGAGAAATACACTGATTCTCTGAAAACCAGCATTTATTACTCAACTCAGTTTGTTGACACAAATACTGTAAAAACCCTAAATTACATTTTTCTTGCTTATAGGTATGTGTGAGGAAGGGGAATTACGTTGCCTATAAAGCTTTCTTTTTGTCTTTTTTGAGAAGAGTGTCATCTGCTAATAGTATCTAGATTTTTAAACATCAGTTCATCTGGCTCTTTTGGTGAAAAATGCTGAATTTCAGAACACAGTTGCTCCTCTGTAGTCCAGTGGATCTGGAGTCTACTAATGCACAAAGCATTGTGTAAAATCTATCTCTAGTCTCAGAAGTTTGGCAGAGTGGTTATGTAGTTACCTGTGTTCTTGCAGTAGCTGAGAATCTGCTTATGTACTTCTGATTCGGTGTACGTGCATAGAAAAAAAAGTAGGACAAGCAGTATCTTTGTTAGTGTGTTTTTTTGGCAATAAACTATACTTTTCCTTAAAACCTAGTGTCATGCCCTACTCTTTAAATTCTTAACCCTGCCGCAGCAGAAGTTCCTAGGCTCTTCTCTGTCCAGCCAATATTTTCCTTTCACAAGTTAAACTAACTTGCCCACTTGCACTTTCCCGGGACCCAGGCTTCTCCACGTTTTGCTTTTGCCATGCCCACTATATACAGTTTCATGAAAAAGTTGGCAAAAACAGTGATATATACAAATAAAATAGTGCAAAATAGCATACAGCAAAAAGAAAACCTTCTGAAAATATATTTTTAAAAATGAATTAATAGATGACATAATTATAGTAAATGTGATAAAACTTTTCTTGGCTTTCAGATTTAAAAATGTCTGACCAGAAAAATATTGTGCACAGAGCCCATTGTATTGAAAAGCTACTGTCTGATAACAATTTCCAAGATATTGAAAATCATCTTAAAGAGCTGGAAGGTATTGATATGACTGTAGAATATCTTCAGGGGACAGATGCTGCCAAGGCTGTATACCGAGTGCTCAAGAGCTGCCCTTCAGCAGTGTTGAAAAAGAAAGCAAAGCATTTATTATTTAAGTGGAAAGCACTTTACAAGAACAACCATGTTCACTCAATGCAAGTTAAAAAGTCAGATTCTGTGTATTTGGAAGAAGATGACCAACATCTCAGTGTGGTTCCCAGAGAACAGACACGGTTGGCTGGACCATGTCAGCAGGAGTTACTAGATGCAACTAAAATTTTGGTCCCATCACAAAGTGTTGCCAAAAATGTGGTATATAATGGCCCAGAAAGCAACATGGATCATCAGCTTTCTCCTTTTGAAGAACGGCATACTAATAATGCGGATTCTAAACCTCTTGTTGATGAAGCAAGCTTGCAGCAGGATCACATAAAAGCTCTGAGATGTAAATGCTCAGATCTTCTTTATAAAGCTTTGACTGGTTCTGCTGAAGACAAAGAAGAAACCAGTAAATGGCTAGAACTGTCAAAAGAAATTGAAGAGCATATATTTGCTCTTCACGCTAAAAATGAGAAGAAGTATAAAAATTGCATCAGAAGCAAAATCTCTAACTTGAAGAACCCTAAAAGTTGCCACTTAAAACATAACCTTTCTTCAGGGACTTTGAGTCCAAAGGCCTTCGCTGAGATGACAGTGATGGAAATGGCCAGTGATGAACTGAAACAGCTCAGGGCTCTGTACACAGAAACTTCTCTTCAGGAACATCAGCTTCCACAAGTCATTAATGGCACACAGACAAACAAAATAAAATGCAGGCGCTGTGAAAAATTTGATTGCACTGTCACAGTGATTGCCAGAGGAACTCTCTTTCTTCCAAGTTGGGTACGAAACACAAATCCAGATGACCAAATGCTAACTTACGTTATTTGTAATGCCTGTGGAGAACAATGGTATCATAGCAGATGGGTCTGCTTGTAATACTGTAACTCTTAATAAGTGATTTAGAATCAAAAATTGCAAAATGTTAGAATACTGATACATGGACATGAGAAGGCACGTCTGTTGAAACTGTATAATTTGCAGTTTATATTAATGTTGTTATGTAGATGCTGCAACTAATAAACTGCAAGATACCAGTTTAAAAAATTGCTAGGTTATATTTGATGATGATTTGATCAAACCTTCTGTGATTTCTTTCTATAAATATATATGTCAATGCATTTAAAACAAAAACAACCCCAGAGGTACTGGTTGCTTGGAATTTTAGTTATCTTCAGCAAGAGTTCTTTCAGAGAGCATGAGTTTATAGTAAAAAAACTCTTTACCAAACTGCAGTTCACATACTTTGTGCATTACAAAACGTTCAGCATGGATTCTCTCCTTAATTAAGTCGCTTTTTGCAAGCAAGTGTAAGATAGATATTACCTCTCAAACCAATTTATTTAAAAGGAAAAAAAGGAATGAAAAATGATTTATAAGAGTCAGGGAAGGCAGCTAGCAAATGAAAGCAGAAATGCACTTCTATTTAAGCTTTTTGTAGCTATTGAGGGGGAAAAATTTAGGATAAGATTGCTTATCACAGAATCACAGAATGGTTGAGGTTGGAAGGGACCTCTGGAGATCATCTAGTCCAACCCCCCTGCTCCAGCAGGGTCCTCTAGAGCATATTTCCCAGGAATTGATATTGATATCCTATCAACATGGCTTGTGACACAACCTATCAGGTTGAAGCTCAGACTTGCATTATTAGATGTTATGTACTGCACCTGTTAAGAAATTAATCGGACAGTGGTTTATTTCAGGAAATTATGCAAACCCATTATGAAATTTCTCTTTCTTCAATAAATAAAGGTATGGTATTAATTACATCCCGACTGGATATCCTCTCTTGAACTGGGACATCAGCCACTAACTAACACTATTTCTTCATCTAAGAACAAAACCATCTTTTTAAAATAAAATCCTTTGAACTGAGAAAAGTAATGTTTTTTATGTCCTGCAGGTTACCCAGAAAAATAAATAGAAAGAAATTTAATAGCTAAAGTTTTTATAAATCTTTTTTGTTCCTGAGTCAACAGTGACTGTATCTATTAGAACTATTTATGAAAAAAATTCATACTGCCTTAACCTTCTTCTCGCTCAAGTATCAGTCCTGTTTTTCCTTGGAAGCTTAAACTTATCCAGAAATCAGCCACCCGAATGGAGCGAGTAACAGAAGTCAGGGAGATACTTCTTTTCTCAATTGGTAGAAGCAACCAAGTTAGGGCACGGTATGCAGCTGTGTCTGTAAAAGAATGTATTCACACTCTTGTGATCCTAGTTTGCTTTCTCCATTGGTTTTTACTTGCTATAGGTACTGAAATGTTAAAGAAATGGATCTGGCATTGAGTTCTCATTTCCTGAGGATGTGAATGTGTCAAGTCGTGGACCTAGGGAAATGCAGTGAAAAATATATCTGCCCTGCCTGAGAGGTTTGGGTCTGGCAGCAAAGCAGTATTACTGTCGGGAAACATAACCTTCATAGAGGGGTCCTTGTTGGAGCACTTACCAGCTGGTGAAATGGGTCAATAAATTGCCAGTTATGCCTTAAGCACAAAGGAAGTTATAACCATAATAAAACTACACACTTTATGTTAATGTAGATATCTTTTCAAAATACATTTTGCAGTTCAAAGCTAAAATTCATTAACCAGGCAGAGAAACCTATCAAGTACCTGCCTGAGGAGTTAAGGTCAGTTCTTGCACCTGCCTGTCTGTAACATAGCTGAGGTTTCAGCTTCTCTGGGCTAACACACTGTCCTGGAGCTTTCCAGCCACATGAGCCATCAGAGAACGCAGTTAGGGAGATAAGATTAGAAAATAGCTGCTTGTGAATTAACAGTCAACCAGGACTAAAAATAAAACAGAAAATGGGCTTTTATCTGAAAATGGTGGAAACAGTGTAACCTGATTACAAGTGGTACTTAATTATTATTCTACTGGTATAAACGAGACAAATCTTTCTCATTCTTGGAAGCTAGCAGTGTGAATACATCCAGCAAAGTCATTTGCTATGGCATTACTCAGATTTTATTGTGAAAATTAAATATTTTAGTTGAATTGCACTGATGTAAAACAAATATTAAAGCATTAGGACAGTAAAGTATTAGGCAAATACTTCAATACCTCAGTATTTGAAGGTGTAGCCAGTCAGCTAGTATCTGACTTTCCCAACATCTACACCTGTGCTGGAATTGATGCCTGTAAGGAGCCCTGTTTGTTTATGTGGAATTACTTCTGTGCAAAGTATCACATTTAGCTTTCAATAAAACTGTAAAACAAAACATTGCAGTGGTCTATAGTAAACAAAGAATTCTGCACTGTCACTTTGGAGGTCATGGTGCTGTTGAGAGCTGTGCATTAGTACAGCACTATATAAGATCATTGGGTAGCAAGAGACTTTATTTTAGCTATGAACAGTAGACACTCATAATTTCTGCCTGCAGATGGTTTTGAAGCCGTTCCAGTAATGTACAGCTCATCTAAGTTTTGTCCTAGAGAAGGGAAACATTAAAAGACAGAGATAGCCTTTTTATGAGACAGAACTAAAATTGGTTGCCATAACACTGCCTATAATTGTGACATGATGCGAAACATCATTTTCTTTTAAACTGCCCATCGCTAAATGTATAGCGCTAAGCTATACACTCCAACATGACTGGGGCTTTCTACAGAGCTCTATTAACCGAGCAGTTAAAAAATAAACAGTGGCTATGTTGAAATTTTTTAGATCACTGAACACATGTGCCTCAGTGCTGATCTGAGTGAACTGTACCTGCAGCAGCAGCAAGAGGGTTTGCTTTCCACCCCTTTCGCTTCTAGCCCTTTCTCCCTTTCTCCTAAGACTGGAGAATAACAATATCCAGTTACTAACAACTGCAGTTGCTGTTTATGATAGAGAAACAATTGGCAGTAACTGCTTAGTCAAATCAATTACAACCATGCCCCCTTTGCATCTATCCTTTAAACTTTCTTTCATCCATTTGGAATTGATAGCAATTAGTACTCTTATGGCAAGTTCTCAGTAGTCTTGCAATTCTAAATCCAGATTTTTAAAGTAGTTTTCTATAGTAGTAAGACATGAGCAGGCATTCCTCCATTGCCTCCTTCCCAACAACAATTGAACCTGATAACTTTCTTTAACGAGTCTTGTTACAAGGATAGACATTAAAAGATGAAGATATTTCTGTAAATTTTGTGAAATTCAATGATCATGACAAGAAATTTATGCTCTTACTGAAAGAGACCGAGCCCTTAGAGCCACCTATTCTATTTGAGCTGCTAACCCCTAATCAACACACACATAGCAGCAGTTTGGGATAGGGAAGAGACCTGGGAATACTGGCAGAAATTAGCACAGAATGTATTGGGTGGGGGAGGGAGCAAACGGGAGTCATTGCAAGTGTGATCAGGCCCCAAATCTGTATGAAGCCTGGCTTTGTTAGTTCCAGTGCTGATGAAGAAACTTGTCCAGATTCAGTTTCACCTTAGGCCGAGTTCATGTCGATAGCTGTGCTGCTCACAACTTCATTTAACAGTTGGTAAAACTGTATATGAAACCATACTCAAACTCAGTTCCTATCACCAATGTAGCCATTTTTCCATCTGTGTTTGTATCCAAGCCTGTTTGATTTCAGTTTTAAGAGAGAATATATATACTACTTTATTCACTGTCGAGCACAGCCTTACTATCAGTCCAGTCCCTGGGGGCCTCGGCAACCCTCCCTTTCCCTGCCCGCCTGTCCTCCCTTGGCTTCCTCCCTGCCACCAGCCCCAGCCCCCTCCCAGCCCAGCCTGCGCTCAGTCGCTGCCCCGAGACGCCACAGCGGCGCCGGCTCCACCCTAGTGGCCAGCACTGGACAGGTCCCACCGGCAGCCCCCTACACCAGCCCCGTGGAGCCCCCGGCCTTGCCATGCCCTGACAACTATCTTAACTTTTCTTCTCCGCTTGTAGGTTTTTTAGTTGAAAGGTTTCCTAGAAAGTGGATGTCATCTATTGTGTCACTATGTATCTGAATACACTACAGACGTGCGATGCCAAGTATGAGAGACAATCATTCAAACCATGTAGACTTTCTGAGATTATTTACAAAGGTGTGGTCTTAGTTTTGCTATGCAAAGTACTGCTCCTGGCTGCGGTTTGTCAGTATGTTATATTGTTCCTACCTAGACTGTGTAACAGAGCAGGCTTATAATGTTTGTCTGGATAAGCTTGTATTCTTTGGCCCAAAATGGCCCTAAAACGTCAACTACATAGCGTATACGTCAGCATGAGGGTCCAGATAACTGGAATACAGGAAGTGTCAGAGTCCAAAAGCAAGAACAAAAGGAAAACTTTCAAAAATTAGATTCTTCTTGTGTTGTTGAAGACTTCCTTTTTCCATTTGTTCCTGATGGGAAAAATCTCTTAACTTTTTAAAGTGGAGACAATTATTTTTGGTATGATGTTTAGCCTATCTGTGGTGCTTCTCTGCAAAGCAGCATGATGACGTTAGAGGTACTCCAAGCAGACACAGGGCAAATGTTTGCAGAGTAAGACTTAAGTCTGTCTTCGTCTTCCCTGGGATTTTCCAGAAACACTGGCTGTAAATTTGCACACAGCTACTTCCCGAATGCTATGATTTAGTAGTAAGGTCTTAGATGTAGACTGTACTCAAAGCTTAAGAAGCCTACAGCAGCAAGACATTTAATATGTGGCTTAGGATGATGATAGCTAAATTCATAATTAATTTCACCCAATTTTTAATGTTAAAGCAAAGCTATTATGCTGAGAAGTATTTTATTAATAAATAGGAGTCGATATTGCTTCCTTAACATTAATGACAAAACTCCTACTGGTTCCAGGAGTTTCACTGCAAGATCCTTTTCACTCCATTCCAATAAGGGCCTCTTATATCTCCCTCACAACTGTTTTACTGTAGCACTTTTCAGGGGAGTATTCTGCTGCCATTTGTTGTTTCTCCTTCTCTTTCCTCCTTTCCTAGCCAAAAGGGAAGTTGTGCTGTTTATTGTTTATTTAAAATGTATTCAATTCAGTCTGCTGTGCTATGCACATTTGTTCTTGAAGACAAGAACTGCATCTCTTCAAACAAAAAAAAAAGAGTCATTTTTCTTCAGGAGCAAAGAAAATTTACCTGGTAACACTATTAGGCTGTGGCTGAGAAGCAAATGTGTTGAATTACAGTCCTTCA